GGAGGAGCAGCAGCCGCTCCGCAGCGGCGTTTCCAGCCGGGGTTAACGACTCCGGGAGGGAATTAGCAATTAGCAGGGCCGGGAGCATCCCCAGCTCCGCTCCCTGCCCGGAGGCTGCTCCCGGCGCTCACATCCCCGCTCGTGTTGCCTTTAAAGGCAAAGGCTGGCGAGGGCCCCGCTCCGGACGCCGCCGGCACCCGGCTCCGCTGCTCCCGTCGCTCTTCCCGGCGCCAGCCCCGGCCTGGAGGGGTCCCGGCCTCCCCCATCTCCAAACACGCCGCAAAGCTCCTTCGTAAAAGGAAAAAAAAAAAAAAAAGTTTATTTTCCTCACAAGAAGCACGTAAAATATACAGTACATTTTTACAAACAAAAGTAAAAAATAAAAGTGCATGATGCATCCCCTACCGCAAACGTACAGTACAAAAAGATACTGCATATTTAAATATAAAACCGGAATTAAGAAATACGATGAAATAAAAAGTAACATTGTTATCATAGAGTACAGCAACGCATCCAAACAGCTACGAGTTGCTCTCCCGCCCGCTCCTCTCTGCGCTCCGGAATCCGGGAGCGATTCCACGCAGCAGCCCCGGGCACCGCGCGGCGCCGCCGGGCGCTCCTGGCACGACGGCTGTTGCCGCCACCCGGATCGACAGAGCTCCCGCTGGGAATAAGGTGCCAGTTTTGTGCATTTCAGGTTTTAAACCGGGACGCGGTTTGGATTTAGGCTGGGAATCCACGGAGCAAAAGGGCATCCCACGGCGATGCACGGAACCGGGGCCGCCTCCTCATCCGCCGCTCCGGAGCGAGCGGGAAGCGGCGGCGCTGCGGAGCTCGGACGGGAAGGTCGGCATGCCGAAGCAGCAGCGCTCCCACTGCCACTGGAAACACCAAAAGCACCAAAAAATGAACAGCAAACAGCAGAGTTCAACAGCTCAGCAAAAATACACAGTATTTGTAAACTATTCTTAAGGCACTCCATTGTAAAAGAACCATTACGATACACGGGAGGGGAAACACATCTACCTTGTCATGCAACGAGCCCAAGGGAGCGCGAGCGCCGCAGGTCGGGCCGCGAAACCCGGGCAATGGCACCAAGGGACAGCCCTGGCGCACGGCGGCCTCCGGGAAACAGGGAGGATCCGCAGCTTGGAATCACCTGGAAACACCCGGAATCTTGTTTCTCCGGGCGTGTTGGAGCGGGAGCCCCCAGTCTGTCCCCCCGGCTGCTCTGCGCCTGCACACTTGGATAGGGATCTACAGGGGAAACGCAGGGAAATGCCGGAGGGAAGGCCGGCCTCCCCATCCGGCTGCAGGGCCCGAGCGGGGACATCGCGGGGACATCGTGGGGACATCGCGGGGACATCGCGGGAGCCGTCCCAGCGCCAGCCACGGGGCTGCTGCAGCCGACGGCGCTGCCAAAACCCGCCCGGGCCCCCGGCATGGGCAGCGCGAGGCCTCCCGGGCACCTCCTGCCACCTCCGAACAAGAACCTGGGTACGAACAACGTCGGAACAACCACATGAACACGGGAAATTCATCACAGTGGATCCGGGCTTGGCACCGCGCGCCGGCCCCGCGGGGCGAGCGAAGGGCAGCGCGATGCGCCCGGGGAGCAACCGCTTCCCGAGCCCGGATACGCAAGGAAACGGGGAGCAGAGGGAAGGCGCCACGTGGAGGATCCCGGCTGAGGGCACCCCGCCTCCTGGGGGAGACACTGG